CGCCTATATAAGGTGTTTAGCCGGCTCTAGCTCACTCTCTTAGCCATTTGCATTATATAGTAACCTTGTGAGCTTAGCCAAAGCCCTCCCACTCATCTACATCATAGATTCATCATCTTTCTGAGACTGTAAGTGAATTCAAGTGTATTGCTTGAGTGATTGCATCTAGATGCACTTGGTGATTATGTTTCGCTGCGGATTTCACTTGTTTCTCTTGGTGGTTGCCACCACCTAGACAGCTTGGTGCAGCGAGGATCGTCGAGCGGAGGAAGGTGATTGTCTCTAGTTTCAATCGTGATGTTTGTGAGGGATTCTTAATCTTTCCCCGACGGAGAGCTAAAAGTTACTCTAGTGGATTGCTCGTGGCTTGTGGATCCTCATCTTGTGTTGGTTGTGCGACACCCAGTTGTAGGTTAGACGTGTGATGCCTATTAACGTGTTAACCTTCAAGTGAGTGAATCACCACAATAGGGACTAGCTCGCCGGCAAGCAAGTGAACCTCGGTAAAAAATCATTGTGCATCTTGTCCTGAGGATTTCTTGGTATTCATTGTGATTGATTGATCTTCGCTTGCCACGGCGGTATAACATCACTACCTCACTCTTGTACTTACATTTCTAGTGTAGCTAAGCTCTTTAGTGTAATTAGTTTTGAGAGATGGCATGCGTCTTGTCTAGTGGTTAGTGAGGCTCTTTAGTTAGTCTTTGAGAGCTCACTAACTTAGTGGTAGTGATCTAGTCTTGTGTGCTTAGAGACTATAGTGACTAGAATTGTGGTAGATGGCTTATATTTTAGTAGGCTAGCATAAGAATTGCTTCGCCTCATATTTGTCTAACCACCTTGCTTAGTGTTGTTGTAGAATTTTTTATAGGCTATTCACCCCCTCTAGCCATCAGGACCTTTCACTTGAGTGTTTGCTGCGTGTGATAGGTTGATCGCAACCTAGGGCGTGCCAAACCTTGCTAGTGTGTGATATGGATCTCAATTCATCATCATCGGAAGCTAGGTTTACGGTTTAGAACCTAAACCCGTTGATTAATTTGGTCTGGAAATTTTGACAACTTAGTACAGGAAATAGTGTTTGTCAACGTATGTTTGGAACTTTAGATTATTGTGCTTACATACTCCATACACATGCATGCACGATGCAATCATGCAAGCTATGGTCCTCCCACGAAGCCAAGAGTTAGACGAGAGCATCCATGGTAGCTCTCCACATACCCATGCTCTGCACTGGCTCTCGGTACACTGATCGTCTCATCTCGGCAACGGCGGTGCATCTATGATGGTGTGGGCATAGGCGGTGTTAGGTGCTTGTCGAAGAAGGTGAAGCTATGGAGGACAAGAACTGTAGCGCGCTCAACAACGGATGGTGAACCTGGCAATACAAGTGGCTGATGGGCCGATGAATGGGATCGTTGTGTTGTTAGCACTTAGGCTTAGCCGGCCTGCGTGCCATGGTTTGAATGGGCTTCGACCTTGTATTACGAGTGTATAAAATGTTGTATCCATCGTGAACGCGAGGCATCGATCAATTGAGAGTTTGAACCTGAACCTGAACTTTTGTTCTCTGTTCTTGCAGAATGATGTCTTGAATCTACATTGTAGTTTACATTACCAGAGTAGCTATATCAGTGGAACCATACAGGGCTATAATTTCTTTTTCCCCCTCTTTCATCTTAAGATATCGTAGAGGAAAAATAATCATAAAAGTAGATGTAACTTGACAGGTCCTTTGATTGAGGGTAATTGAAAAAAGGGAATGAGAGTTTGGAGGCAAGAGTTTAGTAATTTTTTTGTATGTTTCGTGGGAGTTGGAATTTTGGTGGAAAGATGAATGTGAGTTTAGAGAGTCAACTCCCACTAATCAATTTCCTGGGAGGGGTAGCAATTGGGTGGGAGTTGTGCTTTTAAAGAAAGATAAATACATCCTCACCGTTCATCATGACTTGTCCTATAATTCTCCACTAAAAAACATTAACACCGGACAAGGGATATAAATTCTCTCTTTTACTTCCCTTCTTATTTCTCTAGACGAACCAAACAAGAGATTGGGACTAAAAATCAAATTCCCCCCTCAATTCCCTCCATAAACTCCTACCACTAATTCCTATGCCACTTCCCCATCACTTGCCAAACAAGTTTTGAAAGGAAGACGCAAACAAAATGACATCAAAAGATACAAATGAGGGAGTGGAGATCATAATTCACATACGCAAACAGTCTAGATAAGCTCGTTCACTGCCTCCAAAACTAGTAACGTCTTGTTTAGATCCGGCGTGTAAAGTTACATAAGGGTATCGTATGGGGTGTTCAGATACTAATAAAAAAACAAATCATAGAATCCACCAGTAAACTGCGAGACGAATTTATTAAGCTTAATTAATTCGTCATTAGCATATGTGTACACTGTAGCACTTTATTATCAAATTATGGACTAATTAGGCTTAAAAGATTCGTCTCGCAAATTAGTCGTAAACTGTACAATTAGTTAATTTTTAGTTTATATTTAATACTCTATGCATTATGCATGCGTTGAAATATTCGATGAGCGCAGGTAATTTCCATTTCCACTTTTTATAGTAATATATAATTTTTATTTTCTTTTCCCCGTCAGTCTCTCTCTCCTCGGCTCCCCTCGCTGGTGTCGCGTCGCCTGCTTGCTCCCTCCCTCCCTCCCGCATCGAGACGCCGCTTCCCGTCCCCTCCTCTCTCTCTCTCTCTCTCTCTCTCTCCTCCCAGCCGCATCCAAACCCTAACCCTAAACCCCTCCCCCACCAACCTCCGCCCAGTCCCCCCCACCCCCACTGACCTGGCTCCCCACACCCGACTCGCCACGCTGGCCCGATTCGATCGACGTAGGTGAGCGAGCGAGCTTCCCGACCTCATGATGGCTTTGCCTGCGGGGTGAAGAGAAGAGAAGAGAGGCACAGCAAGCGTCGATGGCATTGGGAGATCTCATGGCGTCCAGGCTCGTCCACTCCTCCTCGTCCTCGCCGTCGCCGTCGCCGTCGCGGTCGACGGCCGCGGCCCCGGCGCCGCCGCTGCCCAATCACAATCACCACCACCAGAACCACAACCATGCTGGGGATGGCCTCCTGGCCGCCAACGGGCCGGAGCCCAGGAACGGGCTGGAGGCTGATGCCGATGTGGAGAAGCCGTCGCCCCCGGCGTACCTGCCCCAGGTGGTCGTGCTGTGCGAGCAGCGCCACGAGCCCGACGGGATCGACGAGGCTGCGGCCGCCGCCGCAGGGCCCTCCACCAGCGGCCTCGTTTCCAAGTGGCGCCCCAAGGACCGGGTAATGGACGTGATGCAGTTTGCAGATGCCGTTTCTTCTGCTTCTTCTGATATTATACTTGGCAATTCGCTGGATTCGGTAACGCCTGGGCTCCGGGGATCTTAGGATAGCAATTAGCTGATTCAGCTTAAAAATGGTAGATTGGGCGCAGCTTCGGGGCGTGTGAAGTGATTACGGCACCTGCCAACTTAGCAATTTAGCATTTATTTAATCAATTTCCGTTACGGAGTACGAATGGACTGCGGTGCTGCCAGATGTAACTCTAGCGAGACCCTGGAAGTCGCGGAATAAGTAACCGCTATGCTCACTTACTCTTGTGAGTAGGACAATCATGAAATGGTGGAATGAGTTATCATCATTTGCCACAGCCTATAATCTTCTGCTTAAGTGTTTCGAAAGGTTGTCGGGGCTGAGGGGCAGGGCTAAATTATAAATTACATGTCGTATTACTCTTTTACTGTGTGACACTGATCATTTCCTTGTTAATAATAATTGATACAAAACGGAACTATTGTGCCCAACGGTGTTGCTATGTTGCTATAGACTGTAGCATCACTCATGCAAATTCTTAATTTCATTTACCACCTATATGTAGCATGGTGATCAGTCTTTCGACCTGTATGTCTCGGATAAAAAATAAACGGTATTATTCTGGGTAACCTAACAGGTCCTTTAAATACTGTCATGATCATGGTGTCGTATGCATACCCACATATACAACAAAAATCCAAGCTGGGCGAAAAGTTTTTTTTATATCGAATAGGCACTTTCACATACCTACATATAATGAATGCTAATAACCCCCTGCAAGTTTCAATTGACACTTCCTATCAGTGACTTATTGGCATCATATAATTAAAGGGAATACTTAGTCTCACTGGGTTGCTGTTGGTGAAGCTATAAGTTATAGGCAAAATTGCATCAATAACACTCTGAACCATTTTTTGCCCTTTTGCTAACACACTGCTCTCCGATAGCATCGTACTGCTAAAGGAAATGCCTCAATTTTGCCAAAGTTCAAACATGGACAGAGTCTGGATCATGTCGTTTATTAGCCATTGGCCCAGTTAAAGTTAGCTGACCGCAATCTGTTGATGTCACTGGAGGCTTAAGAGCTTCTACTGTAACAAAGTTGGCATGAAAGCGCATTGTTGTTTCAGGGTCACCACATTGTGCATGTTGCAATGGCTTGAAGCACCAGATGGGAAATAGGGTGTTTCAGTTCATGGCAACAGACATATGTGATTGATAGATAGGAGGTTTTGACTATAAAGATGAGGTTTCTGTACATGGGTGGAAATCAATTTAACATTATTAGCCTTGAAGTCCTTGGGCAAAGACAATTTCTACATGTATGCGTTACAGATGTTCCATTTTCCTTAGATTCTTTTTGGAATTTTGCAGTAACTATGTACCATGTAAAATAAGCTGTCCTTTCACCTTTGAGACAAAGTCCCTTAGGTTTGCAGCTTATATTTACTTGTCCAAGGATCATGTTGAAAGTCAACAGCACTGCTGAGCTTATTTCTTCTATTTACTATTCTAATTCCCTGTCTGTTTTGCTTGGTGTATTGTTCTGCATCATTACTGATTTAGTCATAATGGAATTTGTAACTATTCTATCATTTCTTTTATGCAGCCATGGGACGCTTTGTTAGTTCTTATAAGTTTTCTGCATCTTTTACATGATCTTTACTAACAATGGATTTTGTAGCACAGATGAAGACGGGATGTGTTGCACTTGTAGTATGTTTAAACATAAGTGTGGATCCACCTGATGTAATTAAAATTTCCCCTTGTGCAAGAATGGAGTGCTGGATAGGTAAATTTTTAGTTGATTATATATTTCCAAATTTCAAATTAGTTGGGAAAAAGATCCAGTAAATGAACTGCTTTTCACCATTTGAATGAAACTGTGTCCTTTTTTTTAACCAATTGCATTTCTGAATGCCAGACGAGAGCATATTGTTAATTAGAAGTACACAACAATAACAAAGCCATTTAGCCCCAAGCTTGTTGGGATAGTGTAGATGAAACCCAACATGAGCAACAAGGAAACAAAGGGAAAAAGCTTATATAAATATATACAAGGAATCAACATTATTAATATTATTAAAGGATCTAAAGTCTTGTTCATGCTTCATGGTTCAGGCATGTAGATAGCTGATTTCAATGTTCTTCCGCCAAAGCACAATCTTTGCGAACATTCAATCCTTTCAAATAATTGTTTCTTTCGGTATATTGTTAATTTTAAGTAAATAGCAAGAAGGAAACTATCTGGCACCTACTGTTCAATGGTTTTTAGATGAAAACTATCCCCTTTTAAATTTCAAGCTGACAATTGGCATTTAATTGTAAAGGAATTAAAATTTTCTAGTGTAAGATACTGCATCTATTGGCCATAGTCATGAAGATATATACTTATTTATTAGCCTTTGTGATGATTATTTTGTCAAGAAGTTGTTACCAGATTTTAGACAACAATTGTAACTTACATTTGTTGATAGGTTTGCACTTCAATACTGTTATTGCACTCGGTGCAGTTTCCTTGAGGTATGTTCATAGATCTTAATTCCTTTCTTTTCAGATCCTTTTTCTATGGCACCTCCTAAAGCCCTTGATACTATTGGAAAAACGTTGCATTCACAGTATGAGCGCTGGCAACCTAAGGTGAGGAACTTGCTTTCTTGTTTAACTTCAATCTTATTTTGGTGAGGATTATTTGCATCTTCATATCCTAACACCACTTGCAGGCTCGATACAAGCTTAAGCTGGACCCAACAGTGGAGGAAGTTAAGAATCTTTGCAATACTTGCCGCAAATATGCCAGATCAGAGAGAGTCCTTTTCCATTATAATGGCCATGGCGTACCAAAGCCTACATCTAATGGTGAGATTTGGGTGTTTAACAAGGTAATATTATGAAGACACTGTATTACTTGCCTTGCGTGCCTTACTTATCATAGGCGTCTCTGATAAAATAAAATTGTTGTTTTTGCATTTTGTTGCAGAGTTACACACAGTATATTCCACTTCCAATTACTGATCTTGAGTCATGGCTAAAGACACCTTCCATTTATGTTTTTGATTGCTCAGTGGCTGGAATTATTGTGAAAGCTTTTCTAGAGGTATGCTACATGCTTCTAATTAACATATGTTTCTCTGTGCTTGAAGATGAAGGTTATCATGATTTATGGGCTTGTTTTGTTTTCGTTCCTGGATTGTCTAATATTCAAAGTGACTTTTGTTTACTTCAGCGCCTAGACTGGAGTTCTAGCTCCTCTGCATCTGCACAGAAGGACTGCATTCTTCTTGCTGCCTGTGAGGCACATCAAAGTCTTCCTCAGAGTGCAGAATTTCCTGCTGATTTGTTTACGGCTTGCCTCACAACACCCATCAAAATGGCTTTGCACTGGTTCTCTTTCTCTCTCTTCCTCTCTCTTCTCTGTTTGTGCATGGATATTTGTGTGGACAGTTCCTTATTTCTTATTCTCCTTTTCTTAGCATGTTGTGCTTACATGGGGACATACCTATAAACCTTGCAGGTTTTGTAAGCGATCATTACTCCGTGATTCTCTGGATCTTTCTCTTATTGACCAAATTCCTGGAAGGCAAAATGACCGTAAAACTCTTCTTGGGGAGCTCAATTGGATTTTTACTGCTATAACAGATACAATTGCATGGAATGTTCTTCCTCATGGTATGGTGTGTGCGATATATAATTTTGGGGAACAAGAAAACTAGAGAAGATTATTCAAGTTCAAAATAAATGTCAGCTTATTTTGGGTTTATGATACAAGTTTCACTGTGCAGATCTGTTCCAAAGGCTTTTCAGGCAAGATCTTCTTGTTGCTAGTCTCTTCGTAACTTCTTGCTTGCTGAGAGAATCATGCGATCAGCAAGTTGTACTCAATTTCTTATCCGTTGTTACCCCCAACACATCAACACCATATGTGGTAACTAGCCCGACTAAGCCCTTCTGTTTTTGCATTAACTACCTTTTGTGTGTTTTGTAACATGCTAAATCCCAGGGATGCATGGGACATGGCTGCTGAGATTTGCCTTTCCAAGCTTCCTGAGTTTATTGCTGATCCAAATGCGGAGTTTCAGGTTCTACTCATCATTTAGCATTTCAAGAAATATCAGTAGTTTTTGCTGGTATTGTTTTGACATTTGAATACAAGCATTTCAGTATTGCTAATTTCATTCTCTCCTCCAAACCAGCCAAGTCCGTTTTTTCTGGAACAGCTGACTGACTTTCGAAGTGTGGCTTGATCATGGCTCCGAGGACAAGAAACCTCCTGAACAGTTACCTATAGTTCTTCAGGTAAGACATTTTGGTTTTACACTTATATATAGTTCTTCAGGTAAGACATTTTGGTTTTACACTTACATTCAAGTCAATTATTTGTAAAGCCCAGTTTAACTTTGTAACCTTATTGCCCTTCACTTTTCTGCTATATTTTTTAATTTGGTAAAATGTTTTACATTCATATCTGCTACTCCTCCAATTACAAAAAGACTACCGTTTTGGGTTGTGTTCAGCTAACCTATCAAAAAATTTGGATTGTTAATTACTCTGTACATTGAGATTGGACATTTGAAAATGTTATGGGTAGATTTGTCCCAAAACATATACTCATTATCATATAATTTACTATTCTTATATACTGTAGTACAACATTACTTGGCAAATTTATGTTTTGTGGATCATGGCAACACCGAAATGACACTGTTTTTTATGACTGGAGGATCATATTTCTTTTCTTGTTTTATTTTCTTTCTTACATCTTATCTTTTTTGCAGGTCCTGCTTAGTCAATCACACAGATTTAGGCGCTTGTTCTGCTCGGAAGATTTCTTGACATGGGGCCATGGGCTGTTGATTTGGTTTGTACTGACCTCTTATGCATGAAATGCTTGTTGTTTTTCTCTTTAGTTTTTAACCTCTGGCACTTCATTGTCGTGAGGCCCTGTCTGTTGGAATATTTCCTTATGTACTCAAACTGCTTCAAACAAGTGCAATGGAGTTGCGTCAAATTCTTGTGTTTATATGGACAAAAATTCTCTCTCTGGATAAGGTATCGCTCTTCATTGTAATCTTTTGACAGTTCTTTTGTTGTCTTATATTCAGTTGTTTAACATGTAGCTTTTTCCCAAATGACAGTCGTGCCAGGTTGACTTGGTTAAAGATGGAGGACATGCATATTTTGTTAGGTTTCTTGACAGTTTGGATGCTTACCCAGAACAGCGTGCAATGGCTGCTTTTGTTTTAGCAGTCATTGTGGATGGGCATAGGGACGGGTCAAGAGGCTTGTATGAATGCAGGCCTTATAGATGTTTGCCTCATGACACCTGCAACCTGAGAATCCTCATGATTCACATACAGAACCTTTACTTTTACAGTGGCTTTGCTTATGCCTTGGAAAACTCTGGGAAGATTTCCCTGATGTTCAGCTACTTAGTTTGCAAACAAATACACCTGAATTTGTAATATGTTTATTGTCGGAGCCTCAACCTGAGGTATGATGCCTTCATATCATGTCTACTCTTTCTTTTGCCTACTTGACAAGATACATATTAAACATTTGGTCTTGCCAGGTCAGAGCTGCTGCTGTTTTTGCACTTGGGACTCTCCTGGATACTACATCAAATGGCGCTGATGATGATTCTGATGATGATGAAAAGGTGAAAGCTGAAATAAATGTAGTTAGAAGCCTTCTGCAGATATCTTCAGATGCTAGCCCCCTTGTTCGATCTGAGGTTGCTATAGGTATGTGCATTGGAAAATTATACTGTTTTTCCTAGAGCACTTCTTTTAGTATGTTGAACATAGGGGATTTCTTTTAATCTTATATGGCAATCATTTTGAGTTGATCTCTTGTTTTTCCAGCGCTTACTCGCTTTGCGTTGGGTCACAACAAACATCTCAAATCTGTTGTGGCTGAGTATTGGAAACCTCAATCCAATTCATTGCTGAAGTCACTACCATCATTGGCAAATATAAGTAATCCAGCAATGTTTACAGTCCCAACAATATTCTACAAGGCAGCATTGGTCCTGTGCTGAGGGTTGGCAGTGATAGCAGTGCCGCTGGTCGTGATGGAAGAATTTCTACAAGTAGCCCAATTGCAACAAGTAGCATCATGCATGGCTCTCCCCAGTCAGATGATTCTTCCCAACACTCTGATTCTGGCATATTACTGAGAGAGAATGCTAGTAATGGTGGTCTCGGCTACACTAGGTCGAGGCCTGTTGATAATGTCATTTATTCTCAATTTATATCAACTATGTGTTCTTTTGCTAAAGATCCTTACCCAAGAATTGCAACTATTGGTCGGAGAGCACTGTCCCTTATAGGTGTTGAACAAGTAGTCATGAAAAATACTAGATTTAACAGTGGAGGTGCACATCGGGGAGAGACATCTGCTTCAAACTTTGGAATGGCACGCTCTTCGTCCTGGCTTGATACGAATTCTGGTAAGTTATTATCACTTTCCTTACTATGTGCTTGGACGTTGAAACACCTTACTTGAGTGGGTGTTCAGAGAAAGTCAAGAATTCTTTAATTGAGTTTCCTATATTTTGCAGGAAGCAACTTGATAAAATTTAGGACCCTCCTGTTAGCCCCCCTCAGCATGATTATCTTCCAGGATTACGCCGAGTGTGTTCTATGGAGTTTGGACAACATCCTATAAATTCACCTGATGGCTTAGCTGATCCCCTTTTAAGCTCCGCTGCAGCTCCCAGTAATGCTGAACTAAGTATACTTTCCCAATCAACAATTTACAACTGGAGTTGTGGTCACTTCTCTAGGCCTCTTTTAACTGGCTCTGATGATAATGAAGAATCAAATGCCAGAAGGAAGAGAGAGAAACGAGTTGCACTAGATTATATTGCTAAGTGCCAGCGCTCCTGTATGTGGACATACATTAGTCTGCATTACATTCATTCTTCTTGTTGGTTTCCTTGATTATTTATCTGTTATTTTTTGGTTGTTCACCCTTGGAATAGCAGCTTGCAAGATGACAAGCCAAATTGCTAGTTGGGATACTGAGATTTGAGTTGGGAACAAAAGCAACTTTATTGTTGCCATTTTCTCCAATCGTTGTTGCAGCTGATGAAAATGAGCAAATAAGGTGAAATAATTATTGCAATTAAAAATCCTAGTGCCTGAAATACACTGCTGCAATTGTGCTGAAGTTCTGTCTCATGCCAGAGTGTGGAACTACGACGATGCGCTGCCAGTGAACTCTTATCAAAACCATAATTGGTCAGAAAGAGGGCTATCAAACTTTTGTTGATCAATGAGCTTGATGAGAGCTTGCTTTTTTAGCTGCTGCCTCAAATCGCCTCTCTTCTCTATGTTTTTCTTTCTACACTTATCTTCTACCATTGCATTGTCTAATTTTCATGTTGCAGGTGATGGAAATGTACGTGTATGGAAAAATTTTGCTCAAAAGGGAGGACAGAAACTTGTAACGGCTTTCTCATCAGTTCAGGGACATCGAGCTGCTGGTCACAGTATTGTGATTGACTGGCAGCAGCAATCTGGTTATCTTGTAATGTTCTATTTCCCCCTGTAGTTCTAGTATGTATTTTTTTACATTGCATGTTCTAATACAGGACTTGCTCTCCTTTGTTGTCCAATAGTATGCATCTGGTGACATGTCTTGATCTTGGTATGGGATCTTGACAAGGAACAACTTCTCAGCACTATTCAGTCATCTGGTGATAGTGCCATTTCTTCACTGGTGAGTTTTTATTGCCATGCGCTGATCAGAGAAATTGGAACATTTGTTCAAGCAACTTCTTATTTGTTATTTGACTAGGCTATATGTTGCACTTTATCACTGAGGAAATAACCAGTTAACCATAGATTTGTTATTCTGTGTTTTGTGTTATGTGGTTCATGCTGTATACTTGATGTTCCCGTCGTATATTAATCAATAACTTAGAACATCAATCTGTAACTGTATTTCACTGCTAGTCATTGGATACCATGGATTCCAGGGGGTTTGTATTTGATAGTCAAATTGTGACAAATAATAATACACATGGTTGAATTAGGTACATCTGCATGCTGAGTTGTTAATAGAGGTAAAATGGAGTCACAATATTCCTTCATGAAGGTTGATGGTGCACATGCGTCCTCCTAGAATTCTAGTAATTGTGTGCACTTCAAAGTTTCTATGAGTGAAAGTGGCTTTTGGTGCTGCTTTCTGTAGGAAAAGTTGTGAACTTGTCTCAAGTAGGTTGAACAATGTGAGCAAGAGTTGAATTTGCCAAGGGATTCGCTCATGTCCAGTGGCGGACCCAGAATTGGGTCACGACTAGGGCCCAATTTTAAGAGTGAAAGGGCACATCTACACCATAGTTTATATATATGTCATGTAAAATAGCTACTGTGAAGGAAAATTTTCAAATTGAGAAGTTACTTCAACTTTGAAAATAACATGGAACATACAAAAATAAATACATAGTGAAAATTTAGTGCATTGGCATCTTCCATGTCCTCATCACTGACCTAAATTTTTACAAGATGTAAGAGTTAATAAGAAAAGGGACAAGCAAAAATGTAACCTTATTGATAATGCATTTGTAACTTGAATGTAACATACCACAAGTACTACTACTAGATAGTTTAGGTAACTTCTTCTACGGGTCTTCAATTTTTGAAAATGATATAAGATGTCATTGTTTTTAATGGCTGTAAATATACCCCGCTCAATATATACAACATACCGTGCTATGATTCAACCACTCATCTTCATCTTATTCCGAGAATCAATCTTGACAATCTTCATAGCTTAGAAAACCCTTTCTATTGTGGCAGTTGCAACAATTAAAATCAAGGCAACTGGATTAAAATTTAGTAGAGAAATACTGGCCAGAGTGGCTGCTCTGCTTGTGTGCTCTTTGCGGCCGTGCTGCCTGTGCAGGTGCTGAGGCGTGGAGCCGGTCTGACGCTGCCCCGGAGGCTGCAGTCACGCCATGTCACACCGTGCAGTGGTCAGCCGGTCTCCCTGTCTCGCACGCTAGCGCAGCAGCACCTTGATGGTCGCCCAACTCCAGCTGGCCAACTGAGAAATCGATTTGCTAATTTGGCTCACCAGCGGAGGACTGGTGGAAGGCGAGTGATGGTGTGGCCGTGCGGGGCACTGGTGGGTGATAGCGCAAGCCAGAGGAGCAATCGCTGTGTCCTAGTCGGCCTGGGTGGCTGGATGGTGCTGTCTGTTGGGCTGACTTGTGAAGTATATGGGCCAAAAATAAACAGGGTATACTTGGGGTTCCTGGGCCACGGCCCTAGGCCCAGGTCTGCCCCTGCTCATGTCATGTCTTAAACTATGTTCTTTTACTAACCAAAAAAATAAATACTGTGCTGCAGTAGTCCAATGTGATGGTTTTGTCACAATATCTTGTTCTCCTCTAATGTTCTCAAGGACACATTTTTTATATATAGGCGTGAAATTAGCTGTTTGATTACTTTTATGTATGTGATTCTTGCTATTGCAGCAAGTTTTATTTTAATCTGATTTGCATTGTTTTTTATCAAGCAGTTGAGCATGACCTTGTTTCTTCTTTTTCAGTCTGCATCTCAGGTCTGCTCTGGGCATTTTGCTGCTGGTTTTGCTGATGGTTCTGTCAGAATATATGACGTTCGCTCTCCTGATTGGTTAGTACAGTAGTATTTACATCCTCTGGCCTGCATTTGATGCATAGGATCCATATGTGCCCTATGAAATGTCCTGCTTTCCTCTCTCTTTTCTGGCACCCTAATTATTTTTACTCTGAATATTCTTTTTCTATACTGTAGGGTTGTCTATATGGCCAGGCCACATGCACCAAGAACAGAAAAGGTTGTAGGCGTAGGGTTTCAACCTGGATTTGATCCATACAAGGTAAATACTACCACAACTTACATTGCTATGTTTTAGATTTTCATTGTTGAAGCAACTAAGGTATTTTGTAGTTGTCTGGGCTTGCTTTTGCTTAAGCTTTACAATTCTCCCTTTGTACTATTTATTTATGGTATCACAGATTGTAAGTGCATCTCAAGCTGGAGACATTCAGTTTCTCGATGTTAGAAGGGCAGCAGAACCCTACCTGACTATTGAGGCACACAGGGGTTCACTTACAGCATTAGCGGTTCATCGGCATGCCCCAGTTGTTGCTAGTGGCTCAGCCAAGCAGATGATTAAAGTGTTTAGTCTTGAAGGAGAGCAGTTGACAATAATTCGCTACCAGCCATCTTTTATGGGCCAAAGAATAGGCAGTGTAAACTGCCTTTCTTTTCACCCATACAAATCACTCCTAGCTGCTGGCACTGGTGATAACGGCCTTGTCTCTATCTATGCTGAGGAAAATTACAAGTAAGATGAGGCCTACATCTCATGACAATGCAGCCACAACACAATCGGTAGGCCTTGTGTTTTTGGCCAAGTGATGCTCCCCACAGCATGGTCCAGCTACAAGATCCAAGATGATGTGAAGCCTTGTCACAGAGGGTGTATCGCCTGTTGGACGATGTGTGCAATTTGTAAGATACAGCCAAGATTCGTTAGCCTCCTTGCAGAAGGTTTGTGGAACCCCTACCCTGATCCTGTCATTGAACTCGGAGGCTCCCCCAAAATAATTAATCATACCTAGGTTAACCAAAATGTAAATAGACACCGCATTCGGGTTGTCTGTAGCCAGCATTCTTCCTTTTTCAAGTGTAAAAAGGTTTGAAGATGCTTGATATGATAAATCAGGTTTGGTAGGGGCTGCTTCCTGGGCAAGTGGGGTTGTGCATATGGGCCCAGGTAGAATGCTTGCTCATGTCTCCTCACAGATGATGTTGAATAGAGATAGATGCATTTGTCCAGCTAATATAGCGCTAGATGGGGTTAGTTATGGCCTGCATGAATGAAGGAATGTTGTCAAGTGACTTGCATTGGAGAGTGTCCATTTGTATATACGAATCTTGTCTGTACAGTTGTAATCCGTGGAAATGGTGTGTTTTATGTCGGTGCATTTTAATAGAGATGAGCTGAGGTGCTGGAAAACTGTAATCCCCTGTGATGGTCCCTGTGCTGTTCAGCCTGATTGATGGAAGAGGACGCGTGAACCTTGAGTGATTGATTCTCTGCCTCATCGGCATTCTGTATAGCAGACGGCAGCGTCGTTGGATTGGTGCGCTTGGGATGGTTGTCATAATAGTGTATATTGTATGGAAGACTTCACTTAGCGTTAAGTGAACACCAGTTTGCAATTATGAAGAAGCAGGGATGGGAGGGAATAGTGCACTTGAGGCGGTAATGGGATGGCCAGCTAGGCCTTTTGATGGCCTTGCTAATGACCTAGTGTTAAAGGAGATTGGAGTAAAAAGAGGATTCAGAAGCGACATTGGGGATTTCGGTACCAAGCAGCTTCGGCTCTGTTAAGTGTTCTACACTCTGCTTTGGGACCAAGTCACAGGCCCGTTCGGCTTAGCTTATAATCCACACTATTCAGCTTGTTTTTTTAGCCGGAACAGTGTTTTTCTCTCACAATAATTCAGTCAGAATCGTATTTTTCAGCCAATTCAGTCAAATTTCAACAAGCTGAATGGGGTCACAATATTTTGGCCGCACAATTCTCCCTGGTGTTGCAAAAGGGAAAACATTTATAACCATCAGAAAGGAGGCACTGACTATTATGCAGCCTGTGCTGGCCATGGAGATGCATATTTGATATTTGTAGATGTGTTTGTGTTGTAGTCAGTGGGCTAAATGAAGATGAAATGTACCGAGAATCATGTGTTGTCAAGTGCTACAATTTACGAACTCCCAACTCGGTTTGGCATGTTGTATGCTGCTGCCGCCTTAACGAAATTGGATCGCTTCGCTTGTGATATGCTCCCTTTCCTCAGTGCAAGTTTTTGTTCTGGAACAGCAGCGTCACTGTCACTGAGCATTTAACCTTGTCGCAGCGGCGACCGCGCGCCGCACCACCAATCCCGTGCTGCGACTGCGACCCTCTTCCGCACCACCCACGGCCGCTTCGTCGCCGCCCACGGCACGACCGGCGCCCTCAACGCCCTCCTGGCCGCGCTCTGCTGCTGCTGCTCGTCCCTCTGTTGCATTTCTTTACAGCGCCATTACGCCGGTGTGTGTCGTGTCGTGTCCTCCTCGCCGTAGCTGGCGCATAGGAGAGACCGTCACCGGCGACGGCGAGTGTTTGCTTCCGAGGCAGCCGCGACTGACAGGTGGGGCCACCGTTCAATGGGACCAGCTTGCAATTCGGACAAGACGCGAATTTTTGGGGTGAAAGAAAGGATTCCCCAAGAAGCACCGCACAGAAACAGAACCCTCTCTGCTCCTCGCACCCTCACGCTCCAAGGCGAAGGCGGCGGCGGCGCGATGGACGGCGGCGGCGGGGCCTCGCCCGATGCCACCATCTGCATCGCCCCTGGCCCTGGGCCCATCGTCGCGGTCGCCCCCGCCGGGATCAGTAAGTTGCCCCAACCCTTCCTTCCCTTCCCCTCTCGCCAAGCGCATCTCACTCTTGCCGATTCGCTCAATTTCTGAGATGATAAACTGCTAGCACCTCTACCTCGTTGCTAAGTACTCCTACAATTGCTTACCCATCCTTAGTCCATCCTTAGCAGAGTGTCTGCAAACAGCTCCAAATTTCTCTTATTCACCAACATTGTTTTCTTAGCTGCTGCGTGCTTGATTTGGCACAGGGGTTGAGAACTGCTACGTGTTCAAGAGCCGGCTGCAGGAGTACGCGCAGAAGGCTGGCCTTCCGACCCCGGAGTACCACACCCTCAAGGAAGGCCCGTCCCACGAACCTGTCTTCAAGTCCACGGTGCTGGTGAACAACACCAGGTACGAGTCGCTGCATGGGTTCTTCAGCCGGAAGGCGGCGGAGCAGTCGGCCGCAGAAGTCGCGCTCATGGAGATAGCCATGTCTGCTCCGGTGGCCGAGACAAGAAGCATCCCAGCAGTTGTAAGTTACTCTCCTTTTTTTTTTGGCAGATACGGTGGCTAAAGATTATAAGTGTATACAAAACTATCATTGAAAAGGAAAATCTGTTTGTTCTTCGAATTTCAAGGTGTATGTAAATGAGTGATGATCTGGAAAATCAGAGCCTAATAGGAAAAAGCAAACTGCCTCATTCATAGTTATGCTGCTGCCTAGAACATATTATACATGCTTCTTCAAAACACATAGGTCCAATCCTATCTAGTACCTGATGTGCTTTCTTCACTTCTTTTTATTTTTACGGATGTGAGAGTATCTGAAGTCTCCTATATTAACTTGGCAGTGGGAACCTTGCATCAAATTTATTGCAAGTATGCTAATGGCACTATTCTTTTCAAGTAATGTAAATTAGTTTAACTGTGGTTGTCTAGTACTCTAGTGGTACCTGAGTACTGTCACAGAAGTTTGTTTTAGGTTTCATGGCATTTCCCCAATAATATTCATTGGTCCTATTATTTATCTGTAATTGCTGACATCAAGGTTCCCTCTAAGTACGGGAATTTGTTATAAAGATGCTTTCAGGCTCATTCTGCCCAGTTTATGAACCATGAACTATGCATAGCTCACAACATGGTGATTAAATTAAGTTACCATGAGGCATGAACCGTTCATAGCTCAACTTGTGAATTTGGACGACTAAATTAGCATAGCATTGCCGGATCTCTTCTTGATTGACATGTTTCTTTGATACATCTTACTATGCTTTGCAGCAAGAAACTGGCCTGTGCAAGAATCTTGTTCAGGAGTATGCTCAGAAGATGAATTACGCCATTCCATCTTATATTTGCACTAAACAAGCTTCAGGTGTAGCTCCTTTCATATGCACCGTTGAGATTGGTGGCATACAATACATTGGTGCTGCAGCTAGAACAAAGAAGGAGGCAGAGATAAAAGCTGCCCGAACTGCTCTTCTTGCAATCCAGGGTAATTTTCGTAGCATTCAGTCCAAGGGCATCCGTTGTGCAAACATTATCACTACTTTCTCGCTCTGACTTGGATTTTGGGTCATAAATGGGCGATGCTTGTTGCAGGTCAATCAGAAGGTTGTGCAAATGGTGCTAAAAAGTACATTGTTGTTCCTGGACAAAGGCCGGTTAAGGAGACAGATAAAAAGCCAATTGAAACCCCCAAACCACTTAAAGTCAAGAAACGTGGTTCCAGAAGGAAATGGAACAAGAGGAAAATTATGGGGATGGCTGACCAAATTGTTGACGCTGAAAAGCATGTAGAGGAGGGGCTTGGAATGCTTCTACACTATGACTATGAGGAAGCTAGAAGAATAGAATCTGAGTTATCTAGAGATACTGCAATGGTTCAATTTAACAAGGAAGTTATAATGATGCAACCTGGTGAGGGAGATAGGATAGTACAACCGGAGTCACCCAGAGATCCTGCAAAGGTCCAACACAACAATGAAGCTAGAAGTGTTGAACAGGACCCACTCAGCAACACTGAAGTGGTGATGCCTAACAATGAAGCTATAACTATAGAGCATGAGTCAGTGAGCGCTTACGTATCATTGCAATCTAATGGGGATTCTACAGATGTGAAGGAGGCACCAAGCAATGCCTCATTGATGCAGGGTGAGGAATCGGAAACCACAATGCAAGAAGCACCTCACACTGGTGAACGGGCTCAACCTAACTAGGAACCTATTTTTGGAGAAAGCAAATCTTCCTGAACGGGAAAACTAAAATGTAGGAAAGGCATGCATTGGTGTAGGCTAATAAGTCCATTGGAGGTCTATGGTCCTAAAATAATTTGTGGTGATTGACTCCAGTTGCAAGGGCCTTGCAATGTTAATGGTGTCTCAGGCACGCCAAAAACTGAGCTTTCCAGTTTAAAGAGAATTGAGGGTAGGGAAGAGGGTGTCTCATGTGTGTGCCTGTGGAGGAATAGATGAGAGTGTGTGAACCGAGGTAGCTAGTTTATGTTTGTTGTCATTAGCCGGTTGTATTTGGTCAGGTTTTCCCTGTCATATTGGTGACCTGTGCTTACATGTGCAATAAATTTGAGGTAGCCGATCCAAGCCTCCACTTGGCCACTGGATGGTTGCTGAAATGATGTTATTCATCTTCATTATTTTAAATTCTCTTATGTCAAATTATGAATGGGCAAACAACAAACTGAGCAGTACCCTTCTCTGCACTTGCAAGCATTGTGCACCAAATGCCCAAACGGCATTTAATCTATTTTCAGGAGTAATGCGTGTGGTTGCCCGGCAAAAAAAGCATTTAACTACTTACATTCGCTTCGAACACAAAGTGCCGTTGCCCGGCTACCCCTGAAGTATTTCAACAACCCCTGGTACCCTATTAACAAAACATTTCTGAATGGCTAGATCTCAACAGTGCTGTAACCTAGCGCCTTCTGCACTTGATTCTCAGCCATCTTCCTCCTGGTGTCCTCTGCAGACTGCCACTCTCCATCTTCAGCGTAGACATGCGACACGACAGTGAGACATATGCGGCGGCATCACTGTTCGGTGCCATTCTCCGTTCAGGATCTGTTCCGCTGCGATTTTTTTAACACTTTTTAAACTAATTTTAAATCTAACTCTGTTTAATTTCCTCCCCTAAAACTAACATTTTTGGCTACGCATATTTCCCTGGCGCGGCGAAACGCTTGTGCCGCGCCATACATGGTGACGCGGCGAAAGAGATGACGTGGTGACGACCGAGACGTTGACCGGTGTCGTGACATGGTCTACTGTGCCACCGATATATGTCACTAACGTGCCATGGAGAATGGCGCGGCGCTGACCGCCGGCAGGTTGGACTGGTGACTTACCTTTAAGGTGACCGGTAGGACGTGACAGGGCAGGGCGTTTTCTTTATTGGCGGTCTCAGCGACGCGAACTCTGATGACAGCTGTTCCGGCTCCGGCACCGTAGCAGCACTTGTTCTGCTATCAGTAGCACAAGAAAGGGCGAGCCGGCCGGGCGTCTCGGCTTCCCGGGGCTCGACAGGATGCGCCTCCTGCTGGCGCTTGTGCTGTTTGCTAAGTCGCTGCTGCGGACCACCGGGTGCCTCGCCTCGCGCATGCTCCGGGAGCACTGGCGATGGGTGGTGATTCCGGCGGCCTGGGCGCTCATGTCGTACCTCATCCTCGACTACACGAGCTCCCAGGTCGCCGAGAAGCGCTGGGAGTCGCTCGTCAGCATGTGCCACGAGCGCGCGCGCATGCTCAAGTACCAGGTCAACGTCAGCATGAACAGCCTCCAGGCGCTCGCCATCCTCATCTCCACCTTCCACCACTCCAAGAACCCCTCCTCTGCCATCGACCAGGTAGGCAGGTACACCTGCTCTGCTATCAAATTAAAGGAAGCTTTCTTCTTTCCGGCCGTCTGCGGCGAATCCCATTTGATTTAGTTTGTTTGTTGCTCCGGCCGGCGGCTGCAGATGACGTTCGCGAGGTACGCGGAGAGGACGGTGTTCGAGCGGCCGCTGACGAGCGGGGTGGCGTACGGGGTGCGGGTCAACTGCACCGAGCGGGAGCAGTTCGAGCGCCAGCAAGGATGGAGCATCAAGAAGATGTACTCCTCCAAGACCAAGAAGCTGTCGCGGGGACCAGGGAACGCCACGGTCGCGGAGGTGCGGGAGCCGGCGGAGGAGTACGCTCCTGTAATCTTCGCGCAGGACACCTACGAGAACGTCATCTCCTTCGACTTGCTATCCGGCGCTGTGAGCACTCTCTCCGCCCCCAGCCCAGCCCCTTCCTCCCCTCCCTTCCCCTCGCAAAGATTTTATATTTTTCAATAACAGATCACAGCGCAGGCCTACGGCCGTTTTTTTTCCGCGATCAGAAACATAACCCATTTTTTTATTTATTTAGAGGAGTGAATTATACGAGGCAACTACGAGAGAGTCCTCATAGCACGGATTACTGAAAGGGTCAAGATGCCCAAGAGAAAAATGAATTAGACTAATTCTAAATTCTTTACAATAATTAAACTCTACACTTAACCCATTTCATTCTTTATGCCTAGAATGTGTATCTATTGTTTTACCGCACAAAAGTTTAGCACCCTAAGTTTCAATTCTACTCTAACATGTCAATTCTACGAATGTAAAGACAAGAAATGAATTGCTCAAATGTAAATACTCAAAGTAAAGAGAGAGAAATGAACGCGGCGATGTTTTGCCGATGTATCGGAGAGTCGTCACTTCCCACTGGTCCTCGTTGGAGCACCCGCGCAAGGGTGTAGCTCCCCCCTGATCTGCGCAAGGATCAAGTGCTCTTTATAGGCTGATTCTTTGACACTCCGTCGCGGTGAATCGCTCACAACCGCTCACAACTTGAGTTGGGTCATCCACAAGCTTTGCCGGATGATCACCAAACTCCCAATCACCACCGAGCCATCTAGGTGATGATGATCACCAAGAGTAACAAGCATAAACTCTCACTTGACCACAACAAGACTAAAGAGAATGGTGGATGCACACTTGCTACTCTACTTGCACTAATGAGGACCTTAATCTTGGATTCTCAAATCTCAATCACCTCACTAGGCTCTTGCTCTCTTTAGCACTCTCAAGGTGTTTATCAGCTGATCAAATAGGCAAGAGACCTCCCATGGACGAGTGTAGGAAGTATTTATACCCCCTATTCAAAACAAACCGTTGGGAGGCTGAGTCAGTACTCTGCGGGGTGACCGGACGCTCCGGTCAGTTATGCCCACCACTATGTCAGAAAGAGCCGTTAAGTTCTGACCGGACTCTGATCTGCGTCCGGTCATCACTGACCAGACACGTCCGGTCACGAAAAACGCTCTCTGGAACCTTACTGATGTTGACCGGACGCTGGCACACAGAGTCCTGTCACTTAGCTATTCAGCGTCCGGTCGGTTACCGGATCCTAACCAGCGTCCGGTCAACATTGACTGGACTCGTCCGATCAGGAAATTCCCTCTCTGGAACCTCTCTGGAGTTGACCGGACGTAGGTACCCAGCGTCTGGTCACTTTTCACTCAGCGTCCGGTCGGTACCAGATGACTTCAGTTGATCAAATGAACTGACTGGACTCACCCTTCAGCAGAGGTATGAACCACGGGGCGCCACCGAAATCGGCAAAGGGCTAGGGTTAGGGTTTGGCGAGGCAGTGCGGCGGTCAAAATGTGGGCAGGGTCGTGGCTAGGGCACGGCAAGGTTTGTGAGCACTGGTGAAGCCGTGGAGACGCAGGCGCAACAATGGAGGCGCAGGCGGCGGTACTGTGATGGCACGGCGAGATCGACGACGGGTCTGGTGAGCCAGTGCGACGGCTAGGGCAGAGGCACTGTGGCGCGGTGGGACGATGCGGGAGCAGACACGACGGCGCGAGGTAGGCGTGGAGCAGTGCGACGAGATGGCGTGGGTGAGCACGGCAGAGCAGCGCGGCGGTGGAGGTAGGGATGGAGCGGGCGCGGCTAGGGCACAGACGAAGTCGGCGTGGGCGAGATGGCTACGGGATTAGGTCTGGCGGCGCGGCGTACGGTGATAAATAGTGCCCCCATGACGGATAAGGAAAGGAGTATTAGATCCACCCGATTTCCACTGATCGGATGCACTGGTGGCAACGACTGGATGCTGCCACCCGGAGTCCGGTCGACAACAGTGAGGTCCAAAACCCCTCAAGTCGCAACCGGACGCGTCCGATTACCCTTGACCGGACGCAACCAGAGTCCGGTCGATCCTTAGTTCGTCTTCTTCGTTTGATCGGACGCAGGGACACTATCACACCAGATGCAGGATGTTCACTGTTTCAGCGTCCGGTCACTCCTGTGCTGCATCGGTTTACCTCCTGTGAACTGACCGGACACTGGAATCAGAGTCTGGTGCAGCATCCGATCGCCCTTTTTCAACAGATCTTCAAAGTTCCTTCGCGCTGCCTGTTCCCAATCAAGTTCCAACTTCAATAAGACTCAAATAAACACCAATTGGGACTGATGTGAGTGACCTCTCTCAAACCCTCAAAAATTTTAAAATATTTTGCCTTAGACTATAATTATTTTTAAGAAAATATGCAATAAAAGGGGCAAGGAGCAACATGTGGTCACACAATAGAGTTTTATGATCAATGGAAGCTTCAAATACTCTCCCTATTAGTGGACAAACACAACGGGTGCTCAAAAGATAACCGAAAAGAAACGACAAAGCAACACACATGCATATGTAATGCAATACTTGAAAGTAATTCTAGTTGCTTGTCAAGTTTGATCCAAGTTTAAGCTTCTTCACACGCTTTTCGGCGGTTATCTTAACCATGTTAGACAAGCCCTAAGTGCAATACTAAAAATTAAATATGTTGTATATTACAATGCAATGCAACGGACAACACAATCTCAATTTTTTATGAAGTTACTAAAATCAAGCACATTGAGCTCATTCCTCAACCAACAAAATGTAGCCTCATCTTACGGTTTAGTGAAGATATCCGCCAATTGATCCTCGGTCCTTACATCTTCTAGTGATATATCATTTTTAGCAACATGATCTATAAGAAAGTGATGGTGGATATCTATGTGCTTGGTGCGAGAGTATTAAACCGGATTATTAGCAAGCTTTACCGCACTCTTATTATCACACAAAAGAAGTACCTTTTCTAAAACTACACCATAGTCTAGCAAAGTTTGCTTCATGTAAAGAATTTGTGCACAACAAGCACCCGCGGCAATGTATTTCGCTTCGGCGGTGGACAAAGCCACACTATTTTGCTTCTTGGAGATCCAAGACACTAGTGATCTACCAAGCAAATGGCATCCTCTGGATGTGCTTTTTCTATCAATTTTGCAATCGGCATAATCTGAATCAGAATAGCCAACTAGTTAGAATCTAGCTCCTTTGGGATACCAAAGACCAATACTTGGTGTGTACTTTAGGTACCTAAGGATTTTTTAATGGCAACCATGTGAGCCTCCTTAGGACTAGCTTTAAATCTAGCACACATACACACACTAAACATGATATCAGGCCTAGATGCGGTCAAGTATAACAAGCTAGTAATCATAGAGCGGTAGAGAGTTTGATCAACCGTTTTACCTCCCTCATCTAGGTCGAAATGTCAATTAGATAACATTGGTGTCTTGATTGGCTTACATTCATTCATATTGAATCTTTTGAGAAGATCCTTGGTATACTTTTCTTGAAAGATGAAAATCCCTTCTCTCATTTGCTTGACTTGAAAACCAAGAAAGAATATAAGCTCTCCAATCATAGACATCTCAAACTCCTTCGACATCAATTAATCAAACTCTTTGCAATAATCTTCATTTGATGATCCAAATATGATATCATCAATATATACTTGACAAATAAAGATCTCTCCATCAAGCTTCTTGGTGAATAGTGTGGTGTCGACCTTTCCAATGGTGAAGCCCTTCTCAATGAGGAAATCTCGAAGGCTCTCATACTATGCTCTTAGGGCTTGCTTGAGCCCATATAACGTCTTGGACAACCTATAAACATGATTAGGATATCTAGGGTCTTTAAACCCAGGAGGTTAATCAACATAGACTAGTTCATTTATGAAACCATTTAAAATGCACTTTTAGCATCCATTTAATATAATTTGATTTTATGATGCGATGTATATGCAAGGAGAATACGAATGGCTTCAAGTCTTGCAACCGGTGTAAAGGTCTCTCCAAAATCCAAACCTTCAACTTGAGAGAACCCCTTTGCAACTAGTCTTGCCTTGTTCCTCACTACGATGCCTTGATCATCTTGTTTGTTGTAGAATACCCACTTTGTTCCAATGACTCTTGCACCTTGTGGTCGCTCTTCAAGAGTCCAAACTTCATTGCGGGTGAAGTTGTTCAACTCTTCATGCATGACATTTATCCAATCTAGATCTTGAAGAGCTTCTTTTACCTTTTTAGGCTTAAAGCAAGAAACAAAGGAGTGATGTTCAATAAATAAAGCAAGTTTTTGAGAGCGAGTCATTACACCCTTTGAAGGACTCCCTATAATGAGATCTTGTGGATGTGCTTATAGTAGAGGTGAATTTCTTCTATCAACCACTTGAGGGGGAGGTTGTGGAGCATCAACATCTTATGCTTGTGCCATCATTTGATCATGAGAGACATGAGTATCTTCATTTTCTACTCTCCCATCTTTATCATCATCTTGTGGCACATTTGATGAAGAAGGTGGATCAATGACTTGTACATCATCTTCATCATTTTTGGGCTTAATGTCTCCAACTGAAATGTTCTTCATGGCCTCCCTCAATGGTTCATCACCTACATCATCAAGATTCTCATGTGCTCCTTGGGAGCCATTAGATTCATCAAATTCCACATCATATGTTTCTTCAACCAAGCCGGTGACATGATTAAATACTCGATATGCTTTGGACTTTGATAAGTAACCAACAAGAAAGTCAATATCACAACGTCTTTAAAATTTCTCTAGGTGTTTCCACTTCTTATAGATGTAATATTTGCAACCAAACACCTAGAAGAATAACACGTCCGGCTTCTTCCTATTGAGCAACTCATAAGGGGTCTTGCCAAGAAATTTTTGAAGAAATAGGCGATTGGATGCATAACATGCGGTGTTGATAGCTTCCACCCATAGAGCTTCGGGTGTATTGTACTCATCAAGCATTGTTCTTACAAGTGTAATGAGTGTCCGGTTCTTTCTCTCTACTACACCATTTTGTTGAGGAGTGTATGTTGCGGAGACCACATGCTTGATCTCAACTTCATCATAATATGCTTCAATGCTTGTGTTGTCAAATTCTTTTCTATTGTCACTTCTTATCTTCTTGAGCTTCGCTTCA